AGAGCCAGCATCGAGTGGTGTCCGAGCATCGCGGCGTTCTTGTTGAAATGGCTGAGAGAAGCTGTTGCGATTACTGCGGCCTGTCCCCCGAGTCGATTGTGAGTTGGTTAACAGATCGCCTGCGCTGATACGATCATTGCGCGGTCCTTGATCTGGTGAGGTAATTGTAGGCATTGCTTCAGAGCCGGCGTTGAGTGTTGCGCCCCGTGCAGCGGCAAGGCGAGCTTGCGCAGCTGTGCCTCGTCTCAATGATACGCTGGATCTGTTTCGACGACCAGCGCCCGGGTTGTGCAGTGCAATGCCCTTCATGCCTTCATCCGGACCAATGCGCTCCGTCTCTTTAGCAAACTTTTCCTTGAGTCGCTCGAGCGGAGCGTCTCGCAGGAAGCCCGGAAGATCGTACGTGGTATACTTATTCATAAGCTTCTCTGTACGGAGCACTTCGTTGGTTAAACTCAGATATTCATGACTAGTGGCAAGTGTAACTCTCTGTAGACGAGTAAGAATGACTTGTACAATATGCGCCGTTGCTTTGGGGTAGATGCGCGTCAATCGACGAAATGCAGTAGCGGGTATGATGGCAATGGTTGTGTCTACGGCAGCGCGTGCGACAATGTCTGGGTGGGCAGATTTCGGTTTTGCAGGGCGCGAGGGTGATTTTCGAGTTTTGGTGTTTTTCAGGCGTTCACCACCGAACCCATCCATGTCTAATGACAGAGGTGGTACGCTTTCGAGCCGGCCGCCTGCCGTTGGACTATTCAAAGTTGATGTTCTTCGATGCCGCAATTTAGACTCTGGAACTTCGCGAGGTGTTTGTGGTCTTGAATTATCCATACCAAAGCTGCCTGTTCGAGACAAGGGTGGTGCGGCTTGACCACGGGGGGATGTAGGTACACTTAAATCTGCAAGATCGTCTTGGTCATGACGCAGCTTGACGTCTTCTGTAAACAGGGACAGTATGGAGAACATAGAGGACATGGGCGCTCCATTTTTCACTTCAGTAAGAAGCTGATAGCCCTGTCGGTGGCCTTGTTGTGCAGAGCCGTCGGGCGATTCACCGCCCATTTCGTCTTCATCCGAATCGGATTCTGCACGATTTGACTTGACAAAGATTTGGACTAGGCCATCTACCACGAGACAAAAGCCTTTCTCTTCCTCCAATAGAATGGTCTCTCCAGCCACCAATCGGCGAGTCTGCATGGTGCGCGTGAGCTCGTGAAAGACTGGGCGCTCCAAATAGCCGAAGACCTTGATAGCACTCAGGAATTCATCAAGATAGTTAGACAAGCCCCTCTTGGAGTCACTTTCGGCACTGTCTGGAAAAACTTCGACCTGGGGTTCCTCACGTTGGGGTTCCGGAGGCAGTCTTGCGTACATGGTCATGTACCGGTACCTCACGAAGTAGCTGATCGTGGACACGGCGAAAACCACAACAAGCATCCTGAGAATTTATTCAGCAAAGACCATGGACCGCCCCGGGTGACATACAACGTGGTGAAATTCATGGTGAAAGTCAAGCTCATGGAGAAGAGCGTGAAGAGCCATGCCGGCAAGGTGTAACTGGTCCAGTACAGAACGGAAGGCAATACGCTGAAGATAGAGAGAATGACACGGCCAAGCAGACCAAAGCTGGACGGAGGAGGGGCATCGGCGACCTTGACACCCATGACAGGCGTAGAGAGAACCTTTGCTGCACTGGAGACGGCTGCTTTGGAGGCTTCTGCGAGTGATTGAGAGGCGGCAGTTGCCGAGGCTGCCATGGAGGACATGGTGGGCGACGGAGATGTACTTATGGATGTGTCCTGGGATGGGGAGATATCACGAACAGAGATCTGGGGCGGTGCTAATATGATCCCGTGGAGACTGGAACCGCATGGTGAACTGTTGCGAGGGCACGTTGGAACATTCGGGAACGCAATTGAGAGATCTGGACAAGAAGGGTGGGCATCATGTGGGGTGGGTGCCAACTTGGTTGTGAAGTCAGACTACCCGCGCCCGTGCGCCGGCTAGCGCCGCAGTCGCGAAGTCCATCGCGGTAGTAGGCTGGGCTGGCAGCTCTCGCACGCGCCGGAGCTCTGTGTATATGTTGTATACCTCACCAATTGCGCCGCCATGCCGCCCTTCAAGGATGACCAGATCATCGTCAGTCCCACATGCGCACCTGATCACTCGCCGCATGCGCTAACACCCTGCAGATTATTTCGCCCGGCTCCGAGACGACTGTCGCGCAGCTGGGCCTGCCCGAGTCCTTCACCCCGGCGCGCCTCCGCCTGAGGTCGCGCATGTTCCCCGCTGAGAAGGAGGGCGAGTTTGAGCCATACAAGATACGGAGACGGCAGGATCGCCCAGCACCAGAGAATGGCGAGGCCAAGGACGAGTCGCAAGAAGACAGCAAGCCCGCTGAGGGTGAAGAGGAGGTCATATGGGACGAGGACCGTGTCTCAGAAGAAGGCGCCATATGGCCCATTCAGCAGGGCAGGATTGTCGACTGGCCATGCTTCTTCGCTCTCATCACTCACGTCTACAACTCACTAAACCCGCCCTTTCACACTCCGATCCTCCTCATTGCCCAGCCAGCATGGACACCGCGAGAGCATGAGAAACTCACGCAGTTCTTTTTCGAGAAATTCAAGGTCCCCGCTTTCGGCTTGATGGACGCAGCACTGGCGACAGCCTGGGCATATGGCGTACACACGGCAACTGTCATCGATGTCGGCAAAGACAAGGCAGACGTGACTGCTGTCAGCGAGTTTATCCCGCATACACAGGGTAGAGTCATCTCGCTAGCAGGATGTGGAGGTGAAGCCTTTACTGAAGGTCTCCTCGCCAAACTGAAGCCCAAAGGCTTTAACCGCGACATGTGCGAACAGCTCAAGAGGTCACCGATATGCGAGCTTCTCCCTCCAGGAGTCCCACTACCAGGATCAAAAGATGCGCCTGTCGCCGACGGCGTGAGCAACCCTGCGGCGGCAGCTTCCACAGGAGCACCAGGATCCGGCGCTGCAGCTGCAGCTGCAATCGGAAACGTGCCACGAGGTCCTGGTGTAGATACCGAGGTTGGAGAAGAAGGAACTGGTGAGGACGAGGGAGTTCTAGATGTCGCAAGCATTGTGGCTGGTGGCAAGATGTCAGAGTACCTTGCCAAGAAGGAGAAGGAGAAGCAAGAAAAGGCCAATGCTAAAAAGAAGGGCGCTCCAGCTCCCCAAGCAAACAAGCCTGTAAAGCTACCCAACTCCAAGCTTGAAAAGGCTACATTCCTATACGAGGACCATGCGCTCCTGGATACCCTGAAGAACATGAACCTGAATAATCAAGAGATGGCTGATGCGAAGGGGGCGTTGGATGAGGGTCCCAGCAGGAAACCAAATGAAAACGAGGAGGAGGGTGAAGCTGCTGCAACCGCCGAGGCAAACGGCACTGGCGAAGCCAACAACACAAACAAGCGGACAGGATCAATAAGACGTGAAATAGAAGTTGGAAATGAGCGATTCATGGCAGACGGAAATGGCACACTAGAGAAGATTGCAGATGCCGTATACAGGGTAATCTCATCCATTGACGAGGTTGGCAAACGAAGCGATCTTTGGGATCAGTTGATTGTCTGTGGCAATGGAGCGAAGCTACGAGGTAAGCTACACTATTCACACAAAAAGCTATTCTATAGCATACTAACACGAACTCAGGCTTTAGAGAATCTCTCATACAGACCATCCAGGCCAAGTATCTAGTGTCGCCCTCATCTGCTACCATCTTCACATCTGAGATCCCATCCAATGTCTCAACACCTGCGGGTACTGGAACCAATACGCCACAACCCCAACTTGGCCCACATGGTAACTCTCAAGTCAACCCACTTCTACTAGCAGCTACCACGGCTCAGACGCAGCACATGATGCCCCATGGAGGCATGCCTGGCATGTCACACAACTTGCACTCTTCACATGGCCAAACGCCCACGTCTGTTAAGTTCGTCAAACCCCCGGAGTACTTCCCCGAATTCAAAGAGGTTGGCTTCGACGAGTCAACCTTCTTGGGCGCTCAGGTCGCGGCCAAAGTCATTTTTGTAGTCGACCAAGGTCAGAGTAAGGGTTACATGACGCGTCCAGATTACAACGATCAAGGCCCACAAGCGATTCACGACTACAGCCTATAATAATCATACCCACGCGCATCCTGTTCTGGATAGCGGCTCTTCCTTGACAGGCAGATATGGGCAGGTTGTGTTCCGCTTTCGCGGAGAAAGCTATCATGGAGTTTTCAGGCGTGGTGTAAATGGGGAATATCCTGGCGTTGCTTGTACCTGGCCAAAACAAAAAGAAAGTTATGGGTGTGTGTGCAGACGTGGAAGGACTATTGGGAAGCCTGTAGGTGATGGCCGCAGCGATAGGCTACCGGCGCATTGCGGAAGTGTTTAGTCCAAGAAACATGCAAACTTCCTTTTTGTGTGGCTCCCATCCATTGTTTTATCCTGCCGTATTGTGGGGTTGTGATTGACCATGTATGAGGAAGCGAGAGCTGAGCACTAAGCCCCTTTCACATTTTACTTTTCCCGAATGTGATGGTGGTAGTGAATTGCTGATCGGAGGACGCCGATGACCCCAGAAGTACCTAGTGACGCCCCGGTTCGGCTCCACGTGGTAAACATTAGCGACCCCCCGCTAGACCGCTTATAACCCGTCATCCCTTCTCAGGAACTGATAAAGGACGCCGGCTGTCCCACTTCAATTCTGTACACTTCCATTGCTGAGATCTGAGTGTATATAAGGTGCTCTCTTTGGCCTTTTTTCTACAATTGTATCACAATCTGATTTTCTTTTTTTCTCATCGAACAAGAACGATTGGAATACTAAGCCCGCGGATTTATCGGTATCTTGGTCCGAAACTCTGTCGACTTCAGTGGCAAGAGCGGTGTATCTGTCTCAATTCCAAATAGAATTTCTGGGGTTTACATAAGAGCAGCAAAAGGACCAAGAGTTGTACTTGGGACATTCAAGAAAAAAATGGCAGCATCAACACCTATACCAGACACCATCTACTTTGGCCCCTTCGTCCACAGCATATCCCTCAGCACGCTAGAAATCGAGCCCAATGGCGCCATCGGTGTAGACTCCAATGGCATCATTCGCTTTGTAAACCGCAACGTGGAGTCTCTGGCCTCCCTTCTCTCTTCCCTGGACACTGCCTGGACAGACGCCAAGGTCATCTCGATCAGCGAAACCAGCAACAGATTCTTCTTCCCGGGCTTCATCGACACCCACGTCCACGCGCCCCAGCACCCGAATACCGGACTATTCGGCAAGACCACACTCCTGGATTGGTTGCAGAAGTACACCTTCCCCACTGAATCCTCCTTCTCCGATATCAAGCGTGCGTACCGCGTGTACACAAACTTCGTGTCAAGAACACTCTCACATGGCACAACCACAGCCGCATACTACGCCACTATCCACGTACCCGCCACCAACACCCTCGCCGACATATGTCTGGAGCGCGGCCAGCGCGCCCTCATAGGCCGCGTATGCATGAACAGCGACCTAAGCCCGGAATACTACCGCGACACCAGCGCAGAACAAAGCTACCTAGACTCCAAATCCAGCATCGACTACATCCGCTCCATCGACCCCAAAGGCACCATCGTAAAACCAATCATAACCCCGCGTTTCGCCCCCTCCTGCACCCCCGACTGCCTCAGCGCAATGGGCCGCCTAGCCCAAGAAACAGACGCCCACATCCAAACCCACATTTCCGAAAACAAAGGCGAAATCGAACTCGTCAAGAGCTTATTCCCTGATTCAAAGAGCTATGCGGATGTCTACGACTCCCACGGTCTCCTTACCGATAAAACTATCCTAGCACATTGCGTGCATCTTACCCCCGAGGAACGCAGTTTGATCCTCGCCCGGAAAAGCAAAATTAGCCATTGTCCTGCGTCGAATACGGCGATAACATCTGGTTGTGCTCCTATCCGCTCGTTGCTAGATGAAGGCCACACGGTCGGCTTGGGAACAGACATCTCCGGCGGTTTTTCGCCTTCTATCCTGGAAAATGTACGTCAGGCGATTTGGGTATCGCGACACCTGTGCATCCAGACGTCTTCGGATGCTGTCAAGCTATCTACAGAAGAGGCTTTGTACCTCGCTACCCGCGGTGGTGCCGCAGTTGTGGGTCTGCAAGATACAGTTGGCGGGTTTGAAGTCGGGAAGGAGTGGGATGCGCAGATGATCAATCTGGGTGCTGTGGGTGAGTTTGGGAGTGAGGCGGGTGCGTTCGAGGAGGGGCCGGTGGATGTGTTTGGGTGGGAGAGTTGGCAGGATAAGGTAGAGAAGTGGGTGTATAGTGGGGATGATAGGAATACGGTTGCGGTTTGGGTTAGGGGGCGGTTGGTGCATTGTACAGAGAAGTATCCGTATCGGAAAGAGGTTGGGTATGCGCCATCGAAGGGATGTACGCCTTGAGTTTAGGTGCCGGGTGTCGGCGTGAGAAGATATCGATGAGAAAGTAGTGATGACGGCATAAATGTAAGGAATAGAAATTATTACGATGTCTTACGCTGGAAACTATTGGTGACGATTGTATTGCAATGTTTCTTGTGAAAACCTCTTCTGGAAATTGCAGTGTGAAGAAAGGAGTTTTTTTCAAAGTTCACATTGACGCTACTTCAAATTGGTACACAGTGTGCCTCTGTGATATTTGTTAAAGACTTTGCGGACTACAAAAGGTACTGGAAATAAGGGTATAACTATCCAGAAAATAAATAGAAAAAAACGATATCGTCTAATGCATGATAATCAGACTAATGGCTAGCCTATCTTGCGTTTATGTCCTTCAATCTCTAAAATGATGAGTAGCTCGTCCATGCTGAAAAGCGTTGGATTAAGTTCCAAAGATTCGTATGCATTAAATGCTAGAGAACGCAGATCTTCTGCCGAGGAAGATTTAGGAGCTCGATCGAGGAGATGAGCTATCAGAACTTCTGGTGAAATACCGTATTCGATAGTGATGTCGCCACCATCACTTGCGAGTCCGCACAAGGCGTACACCTTGTCGAGGATATTTGAAGCTTTGGAACTTGCGTAGTACACGATAAGTTCAGCAATAGGACTCCATCGCTGTGTCTCGCGAATTTTTTGCCAGTCAAATACGAGACGCATGGCTGGAGTGGCGTAAAGATGTACTACGTGCTCTGGGTCTTTCTCGTATATAGTGGCTACAAAAACCATAAATCTTACTAAGAGTGTCCAATGTAACTCCTTTGATCCGCAGTGTACTGAAATATCTTTGGCAACCATGGTTTCTTGTATAATCCAAATCCTTGTCCAGTAGTCCCGGGAAAAAAGGTGTTCCAGAGCATTCATTGTTCTCTCGTCCCGGATGAAATGCGATTCGTGCATAGAATTGCCAGATCTCCTGTTTGATACCCATGTATATGCGCTGGCCACTGCGTCCATAGCCATGTCGCTTGTATTGTCTTCGCTAGCTTCGCCGAGCCAGATCATGACGCTCGTAGCAGTGCTGTAGATACGTCGCATCATTTGAACTTGGTGGTTCTTTTCCAATGTATTGCTTTGGTCGATGCAGATAGCATCAATCCAGTAGAATCCCCATTGCCTCTGGATACGCATCTGCTCTAGAAAGGCCCACAGATTGCGGGAAATAGGAAATCCGTATCCATTGAGACGTATTTGGTGAGTATTCCTTATCCGTCCCCAATTGTAAGACAGTGCTTTGTAAGCTGGGCAGCTCTCGTCGAACGAATAAGACAGAAGACTGCACTCGATTAAAGAGACTTGCGTGCTCGGATGCAACATAAGAAGTCTGAATCGAGGGGCTGAGGTATCATGGCTGAGCGGTGCCAAGAAATAGGGGGTTTCCATGACTGAGAATATTATGAAAGGCTGTTATGGCGCGACTAAGGTGGATATAGTAAGTTTTTGGGCGGTGAGCGGTAGCTTTGCAAGGACTATGCATCTGTTCGATATTATAGCGTGCTGTTGCTCCACAGGGCACAATATGTATTTCGAAATGAACGATAGAGCAGGTACTGGACAAGGGGAAGAGAAGGTGTTTGTGTTGAGGAGTGATGAGGAATGAGGTATGAACGAGGTAGTTTACAAGAAAGCGTATTTCTTGGTAAACTAGGCAGGCGCATGCAGCAACGGGGCAGTGCAGAAATACGCATGTGACGCCTCCTTTCTCAGCACCACTAATAGCACCAATCACCTTGCATAAAAGTTTCGAAATAGGTTGGTGGCGCATCGGGCTGTAACATTGAGGGTGAGAATGGCATATTCGGCTGAATCCAGGAGAAAATCGCGGGGACAATAGAATGTGCAAACAATTCTTCTGCCTGTCGTGGCTATAGACCCCTTGTCATGATTATTATTTGGAGTTATGCTATGCTTGACACTGGATTTTCGCTCCAAGATTACATGTACACTTGATCATATGGCGATCGAATCGCATGACAAAAAAGCAATCAAGCCAGGTAGAGATTACGGATCTGAATGTGAGGTTGCTCGAAAAACTCGCCGTCCATCGCGCCATACATGAAGCAATCACCAACCATTTGGAAAGCGTCAAGTAAACAACTAGCAGTGGGACGAGCATGCTCTTCCCCCCCATCCTCGCTTCCCGGAACAAGAGTTGTCCAGTCGTTGTTATTGATAGATATAGGTGAGCCTTGTCGGACCATGAACGGAACGTTGCTACCCTTGAAGACATAGATGCTGTCACCCTCGGCAGTTGTCGTTGGTCCGAAACCTATGTAACCAGAGCTAGTGAGGAAGAAGCGCCGAGAAGTCGTTGCGTTTTTGAGAGCATGGTGAATTGCTGAAATGCCTTCGTCAAGATCGCGCTTGCTGAATGCCGCAGAACGGCTAAACGTATCACGGGATATGCAGCGAGACCACATGCTCCACGCCCTGAAAGCCTCGTAGTCTTCTGGTCTGGCGCGCCGATAAGACTCTTGCTTCCAGTAAGTATCTGGATCCGTGCTAGTACGTACAACATCTCCAACAAGTGTACGCCAGAAAGCGTTTTCGTAGGTCCCGCCGCTGGGGTATGCGTGATTTGATTGCTCGAGCGATTTGGTGAGTAGATTCCAAGATCTTATGACGGCACATGTGTCACTGATTTGCGTGTGTCGACTGACTTCCCCTACTGTCGTCACACTATCAACATACACTGCCTCAACATCAAGAAGTTGGTCTATCGGATGGAATCGAACAGTTCCTATTCGAGATCCAGACGCTTTGTAAATGCATAGAGAGTTCACTCTTTCAATCTCGACTGGAAGACATGGGAGCGACCAGTCCATGGCCCAAGAAGGGATGCCGTCCAGTCGCTTCCGGTTAAGGACAGCCTCAAGATCACCCGCGAGAACCGATAATGACCCAGCTCGTTGTATGTTAGTCACAGTTGTGCTCGTAAAAGTTGCAGCAGTATCAGAAGTGTAATCAGGTAACAATGGTGGAAGGCCTTGCCAGTTAGTAGTCAGACCAAGGAGGGCAAAGACCTTGTCCTGCTTCTCAGTCGCCTGCAGTGGTCTAAATCTCCATAGCAGCTGCAATATCGTTCCACTATTTGAACGAGCGAGGTGTTGAAGTCTGATACCCTCTATGCGAAGCACAAAGTCACTGAACTGATCTAGAATGTCTTGTCCCTGGAGAGTACCAGCCAAGTCCAGACATAATGTGTGACGTTGTTTAATGTGATTGGTAGCAGCTTTGGCAAACATTGACCAGGGGGCTGACAGCACTCCGTATCGAATGGTAGCTTTGCGGGACAATACAGTCTCTTGAATGACCCACACACGTTGCCACTGTTGCTATCAGCTTATGCCATGAGGAAGTGAAAGAGAGATGAACCCAAGGTCTACTCATCAGTCTTGCAAGACCTGCCCAAACTCTGGAAGATCTTGAACCACGCACATGAGCTCTCGCGAGCACCAAGCCATGCCAGTTGCTAGTAACTCCATGCTTTTGTAATGCGACAGTCTTTTCGTGGTTTAAAGCATTAAGCAAGGGATATGAAGTGCCTTCCGCATAGTCTTGTAACAAGCAAAAGGCTCCAAAGACATCGGAGCCAGTGCTGTCATCGTCAACGCGGGGGCATCCCATCAGCTGTACATTCATATTAGACGCACTAGAGCGCTTAAACTCGAGCAAATATGCGTTACGCAGCTCATTGTCGTCTGAATCGCCTGTCCATGTTGGTTCTAGGGGAATGTTTTTGGATCTGCGGCTTGTCGAAGCACTGATCGGTCGCTGGACAAAATATCTTCTCAAAAGATCGGTTCCGGCATCCTCGTTAGCAGCAGGCTCGCCCAGCCAAATCATGGTTTCTTTGCTATTACGGTATATTTCACCCATCAGACCAACTTGCTGTGTGCGCTCCAAAGTATCATCTTGATTGATACAGAGCGCATCGGCCCAGAGCAGTATGGGATGGTCATGCTGTCGTAGCGTGCGAAGGGCGGTAAAAAGGTTCTCAGAAATGAAGATGAGTTTGTCGTTGCATCTTATTAAGCGGTTTGGGACAACCTCTGCATGTCCCCACGTGTAGGAAATGGTAACATAGCGGTTTTCAGCTTTGGCTATGGAATAAGGCTGAAGCTGAGCATTGATATCGTCCTCCCGGCGCCCAGGCAGCAAGCGCAGGAGACGAATGGTAGGCGGATCAGCAGGTAGTGGGGTGTAGAAGTTGTAATCATCATTTTTCTTGTTGAATACTTGGGTAAGTTTCGAGATGATTCGACGAGCCATGGTAATGCGAAAGACGGGGATGTGCTGCTCGGTTGACATGCTGATTTTAGGGGCTAGTTTGCAACACGTGTTGGGGCTGGAATGCGGATTTGCAGTCACGTCAAGTTCGCAAGAGGTAACGCCAGTACCGACCATTCACACATTTGCGATAACATGCCTGGACGTCAGTAGAATCAGTCCGTCATACTGTCGATACCACTCGGAATCCGATAAAGAACAAGGCCACGCATCTAGTGATACATCGGACGATGGCCACATGACGTCAACAGCGCACGATCCCGAAACGGCACACCTCATTGCCTGCCCTACCTGCGGTCAACACGTCTATGGCTTTTCCATCGTCCGCAGCTCAGGCACTATGCAGTACATTTTGCCTTTGCTCGAAAAACTTACATCTGCTGCTCAAATAAGTCGCTCTTTGCTGCATCGGGAAGCGCCGGAGGGATGTCAGTCTGCACTAAAAGCCCCGGCGGTGGCCAAAGAGCGTGAACGGGTAGCGCCCGCATGACAAGCTATCGGGTCACTTAACCCATGCCTAGCGGTGTGAGAAATGGAAAAAAAAGCGATCAAAATAAAGCCCCGTGGGCGTCACTCGTCAGCCGCATGGGGGATCGTCATGGCTTTGTGCTTTAAAGCCCGTGTGTCTGGCACGTTGAGGCCTTTGCCTCGAATTTTATTTCCCTTTCGATTGC